TGCTCGCCGAGGAGTAAAGAAGTGACCGTGGCATTGCACGCAAGAAAGAGCGTCACGTGTGGACCCGACCTTAACCCAGGAAGCCAGGACCGGACGGAGCCAAGAACTCAACCCCCGAGACTGGCCACTCCTTCCAAGGGCCGCGTTTAACCGTGACGCGGCTAAGCTTGGGGTGCACTCCTCGGCAGATCCTAGGCCATGCGTACTTAGCCCCCGAGCTCTGCGGACACTAATTACAACTAGTTCACGAATTCCTAGTCCGACCATGACAACAGCACGCGTTCCATCGAAGGCAGACCACCGGCGTAGACGAGTCAGAGCAAGATGGGGCAATGCACTTGTGCTGGCGAGTCGACCAGAGGTCCACGGCAAGCTTGGACCTGCCCGAATTCTGGCCTGGGGGGCGGCGGGATGCCGGCGCCACGGGGGCCCGCGCGCAGGATTCGCCCGGGGGGCCGGCCGCCCCTCGAAACGATCAGGCAGGTCACGCGCTTCCAGAAGGGGCCAATGTGCTGCCCGTCTCGCGGGGCGCACGGGCTTTTTGCCCAGGGTCGCACCCCGCTCTCCGACAACCTCAGGACCAAAGACTAGCGAGGGCCAAAGAAGCAGGAGGAGAGCGACTGAAACCCCCACGGCCCAGGCAACAAGAAGCTGTCTGCCTAGACGCTCGAGCTCCTCTGAGGGCGCCGAAGGGCACGACGACGCAGCACTTTTGGCAGAGGCATCGACATAGCTATTATTACCTACATGCAGGAAGCGGTCACGGTCGCCCACAGCTTCCCCTACATTTGAATGAGCCTTCCATTTGTTGACCGTCAAGGGGAGGGGGGGGCGAACGAAATCAGCGCAACCAGAATACAAACGCCGGTGGCTGCATTGTTGGGCCCAGGGCGAACTGGCATGATTAATCACATCCTGGCCATCCGAGGGCACAGTGCGGGCAACAAGCCTGGCAGCAGCGCAGAAGGCATGGCGTTCAGCACCCTGGGGGGCCTGCGGGCAGGGAGGCCACACCGGGCCTCGGATCCGAGCCATTTCCTTGTCCGAGAACGGGTCGAGCAGCGAGACCGCCCAGCCAGAGCGCGCAGGCTCCGAAACTCGGAGACGCACGCAGGCTCGAACCGACAACATATAGTTCAACCCCCGAATTCCTGTTCGAAGCTGATATTATCCTTTAACCGATCACATGATTCCGCAACCACTCTTTCTCCTTCCAAGAGAACAAGGAACATCCTCAGCTGGGCGCGGAAAGCTGCCATGGCAAGCGAGAGCGCCACAGGTCTCAGCTGCCCAAAACCGAACCTGAGCTGGCACGAACTCGCCCCAAAGGGCGGAGCAAGCCTGGCACTGCCAGTCTGCGACGGATGCGGTCCATAGCAGAGCGGCAGAAGTTACAATTCGCATCGATCCCGTACCCCTTGGAACGAGTCTCAGCACGAAGCCGAGCCCCATCACACATGCTTCAAACGCGCGCCAAAAGACAGTGCCGCCCGCGCAGGCGCGACCCACGCTGTGGCGAGCCCCCAGATCCCATCCCAGCACCCACATCAGAGCTCGCTGCAGAAGAGACCTAACCATGGCATGCGAAGCCTGGGCGAGATGCACATCGATGCCGCGTTCATCCCTCGAGAGAGAGAGAGAGAACAAAAAAAAAAAAAAAAAAACGACGGCGCGGTCCAAGAAATTCCCCACACCATCCTCGAGGCACCGAGGTGGTCAGGAGGCGGGCGGGGCGCGAGAACGCAGCACCCCGAGCCGCTCGGAGCGCGGCGGACGAGGGCGAGTGGGGCCACAGCCTGCGGCGAGCGATCCGGGCGTCTTTAGCCCACTGATGACGAGGACGAGGACGAGGACGAGGAGAAGGAGGAGGAGGAGGAGGAGGCGGAGGGCAGAGGAGGAGGAGGAGGAGGAGGAGGAGGAGGAGGAGGAAGAGCTGGAGGAGGACGCAGGAGGAGGAGGAGGAGGAGGAGGAGGAGGAGGACGCAGGAGGAGGAGGAGCAGTCGCCGCGACCCAAGGAGGGCCATGATGGCGGAGCACCGGGGCCGTGAGCGAGAGCGCCCTCCAGGGCCAGGCCCAGGGGAGGGGCCTGCCCAGCCAGGCCCCCCGAGTGGACGAAGCCCCAGGCCCGCCGCGCCGGAGACAACACGCCACGCTCCAATCCAGGAAGGGGCCCCCACACTGAAGGCCTGTTTGGCCCTCTGCCCACCGACCGCGGGCCTCAAACGCAGCAGGCGCACAGTTCGGTCCTCGGCCTTGCGGAGGCGCCCCTTATCCCTGGAGGAGCGCCCCACGCACCTCACGGGGCGGCCAGCGGCGTCCGATCCCGGGGTTCGCAATCGAGGCGAAGTCGCGAACGGGCCAAGCGAGGCCGCCCATGGCCCTGGCAAGGGCCCGCGCGGAGGGGCTGGAAGAGCACGCGAGGGCCAGCTCTTCGACAGATAACCTGGGCCCCGACACCCTGGATCAAAGCTTCGCGAAGATTGGCAGCAGCCTTGGGGGGCTGCTCGACATTCTGCCGAGCGCAACCCGCGGGGGAAAGCCCGCCGCCGTCGACGCGCAGTCTCGATAGCGAAGCCTGGCGGGGGGGGCCGCGGCAGGCGCCCGGAGCTTGGAGAGCCTCAACCCCTACAAAAACGGTCGCGACAGAGCACCCAGCGATGGATTGCAAAAAAACAAAGGATTGCAAAAAAAAAACTTGCAAAAAAACTTGCAAAAAAAACGAAGGATGTTTGCAAAACGAAGGGTTTGTTTGCAAAGGCTTTTTTGCAATCTCAGCGGGGCCGGTCCACGAAGCCCTCCACGGAAAGGAAGCGGGCTTGAAAGTACATCGCTGGACAAAAGTAAGGGACACTCACCTGGAACACAGTCTGCCGGCACGCCAGCGCGAGCGCCTGCTGACCCAGCGTTTCGTGACATGTTTACATCTCAAATGAGAGAGCGGCAGCCTCGCCTCCTCCAGCAGCCCTACCCTCCGCGCGCGCGGATCGACGCCACGCGACATCATGGGATCCCTCAGAAGGGTCGAACCAAGGTATGAGCGCACGAAGCGTCGCTCCCATTCGCCAGCGAGGAGTCCGCGAAGCTCACCATGCATCCTGAGGACGCTGCAAAAGATCCCGATGGCGCGGAATCCCGAGGAAGGTCTAGCGACGATGACCAACATGACCACCGCAATCTGGAAAACGATCGCCGACTTCTGCACGCGAGCCGAACAGTCGGAGAGCAGGCACGGGGCGAACTCAGACATCACGTTGAGGTGCCCCGTGCGAGAACCAGCAGTGGCGACAGCCGACTTGCCCCGTAACTTCGTCGTGATGGCGCGGGTGTCTTCGGGCTCGAGCGCAGGGAGAGGGGGGGTCGAAACGCCCCCGGGCATCTGGGGCCTGTTTTTGCCGACCCCCCACAGGCCCGAGAAGCGCGAACTTTCGGCGCGGAGCCGCGACCACGGGTCCGCAACCAACTGGCCGTTTTGGACCCAAGGGGCGGGCCCCTTGGACGCCGTGTGTTGGTCGGCACGAAACAGAGCCAGCCTCGCCACTCGACAGAAGCAACTCCCCTGACTTTGTGGACTCGGACTCGGAAGGCCGGACGTGGAAAATGTCGAGCCACGAAGCAAAGCCACGAGAATGCGCTGGCGCCCGGATCCCCTCGGGGGGGCCCCCCGATCGCGCCCGCCAGTCTGGCAGTGCTCCCGCCCGGCCTCGGTCCCCCCCTTCCCCGCGCATCCCAGGGCGGGGGGGGGGGGGCACGGAGGTGAAGGAGGAGGAGGAGGAGGAGGAGGAAGAGGAGGAGGAGGAGACCCGGGGAGCAGCACCGAGATCCTCAGCTCGACGCGGAAGCACGCACCCAGACAGGCTGCCACGCGGCCCCGCGGCCGCCCCAAGTCGAGCCGGGCGAGCTGGGCGAGGGGGCCCTGCCCGGCGCAAGAGGGGCGCGCGAGGAGCTGCCCACCTTCGGGGATGGGCAGACCCCCCTTTTAGTAAAACGTGGTTTATAAAGGGGCCCCAGAACATACAAATAAATACACACAAATAAAAATATTCCCCATATTTTCTCATCTTTTCTGGGCTTCTGTCTTCCCCCCCACTTCCCATATTTTCCCATATTTTCTGGGAATGGACGAATAATTGTGTCTGTATGTTTTTCCCCCTCCTGAGTTTAGTGAAACCGACCTGAGGCCCAAACCTGGCGGGCGCAAGCCTGGAAAAGAACGGCCACGGCACCCTCTCGAGAACCGAAGACGGACGATTCACGAGTCGACGTGTCACTGTTGGGGGTTCTGTCCACCCCCGACACCTCCAGCAGGCGCGGCAAAAGGCGCGGGCTGGATTCGAGGCCGCCAGCCACGGCCCCGACTGGCGCGCGAGGGACCGCGAGCAAGTTCAACCCCAGCCAGGTCCGACGCGAGCCAGCGGAGCCCCGGCCGCTGCGACTGCGGGGAGGGCTCTCCAAGGGGCATCCAGGGCGGGCCGACAAAAAAACGAGGGAGACAGGCTGCTGGAACCTGAGCGGAAAAAACAAGAAATTGGGCCACACCCTCGGGCATGCTCGCCAGCACCAAGGCCGGCTAAGATCGGACGGGGAGGCTGAGGCTCACTGGCGGGCCGCACCTCAGAACTCGACCGATGCTGAGGTACTTCATGTTGCTGCGGGCCCCCCCCCCGCTGCCCCGCGGCGGCGGTGGGGGGGGGTCCTGCGGGAGGATGCGTTGTGAACGAGCCCAAGCGTCCTCATTAGGATCAGCACGGTCAGGAACACCCTCACCTCTCGCAGCCTCCTTGGGCGGCTCGGCGGGAACCCCCACGGTCGGTCCTCCATCCTCGGTCTAAGGAGCACCAGAACCACCAGAAGGAGCGTGGACGGGAGCACCGTCTTGGTCATCATCTCTGCGTCGAAGTTTGGAAGCGAGGCGTTCGAACATCTCCCTCTGCTCGTCCTGGAAGGCCTCGGCCTTGTCCACCGCGCAGCATCCTGAGGTGCATGCTTGACCTCACGCGACCTCCCTTCAGCTTCTTCCAGATCTTTGCCAGAGAGCTCGAAGTCGTCCTGTGGCTTGGACAACGACTCGATCAAGATCGGGATATGCTGAGCGCTGCCCTGGAGGACGGCGGAAATGTCCAGTTCATGCAACTGCTGTGCCAACTTTGCGTGTGCATCCTCCGCCTTGCCGAGCGCCGCACTGAGGCCGCGGATGCGTCCCCGCTGCCGGTCGAGGTCCGCCACCATGCGATCGTACACTGAGCAAGCTTTGTCAGTCTTCTCCCGTAGCTGGCGCAAGTCATGGAAAGCCTTACTGACTAGGGCCTGGAGAGAAACGGCTGGCCAGGTAGCGCTTCTTCCTGTCAAGGACGAGCTGATGCCTCTTCGCGCCAGCCTTATCTCCACACTGCTCGAGCAAGCATGGAGACCAGCTTCTCGAGGTCCTGAGTCGAGGTAGCCGCGTGGTCCACATGCTTGGGGGAAGACCAGGCGCCACTTGTACTGCCACCGCCGCCGTAGTCATACAGAGGGCCCGAACGGAGTGGGAGACGTTCGTGCTGCCAACTGCTCCAGGACGTAACAGGCTTGCCGTCACAAACTCAGGTCTTCCCACCTGGGGCCACGGTGGCCCAGCCCCCAGCACGACGCCAGAGAGCAGTCTCAGGAGCAGCAGGTATGGCGGCTGCGGTGCGGGAGCTTGCTTGAATACCCCCGAAACGGGGACTCAAGTCAGCACGCTGATGGCAACAGCACAGGGCAAGTCTGGCGCAGCAGTGCTTGGGCCAGAAGGGCTCGAGGGAAGAGGAGGGAGGGAGGAGGGGAGGTTGAGCAGCTGCAACGGTCAGCCGTTTCGCCTCTGCTCCCTGCCCCTCTTTTTGGTCCCGCACGGCTGCTGCCTCTGCCTGCCACAACATGCTCCTCCGCTCTTGCGCGCCGCCGGCGGGCCACGGGCTCGGTGTGCGAGCGCATCCCCGGGGCAGGCGAGGGGGGCGGGAGAGGGCCGCCCACGGGCTCGGCCGAGGGTCGATGTTGGCCGAGGCCGAGGGCGGCTCCACGGGGTCTGGCCCGAAGAAGCCGCTCCGACGGCGCGGTCGCTGAGCGATGCAGCGCGGAGGCCTCGTCGTGGGCCCGCCGCGGTCACGCGGCCAGCTCCGCGGGCAGCGGCTCCGCGGCGCGCAGGGCCGCGGGCAGCCCGAAGCGCCAGACCTCCGGCGCGGAGCCCGAGCCGTCCAGCGCGCCCACGGCGTAGAGCCCGCCGCCCGTGGCGCACAGCGCGGCCCACTCGCGGCCGACGGGGAGGCGCCAGGCGCCCGCGTGGCGCCAGGCCGCGCCAGCGGCGCCCGCCTCCGCGAGCGTCCAGGCCTCCAGCGCCCTGCCGTCCGGGCCCCCGAGCTGCAGCAGCGCGCCCCCTGGGCTCCCTCCTCCTCCTCCTCCTCCTCCTCCTCCCCCTCCCCCTCCTCCTCCTCCTCCTCCTCCTCCTCCTCCTCCTCCTCCTCCTCCTCCTCCTCCTCCTCTCCTCCTCCTCCTCCTCCTCCTCTCCTCCTCCTCCTCCTCCTCCTCCTCCTCCTCCTCCTCCTCCTCCTCCTCCTCCTCCTCCTCCTGCCGCCACAGTCGGCCCGTATCTTCAGGATATGCGCGATGAGGATGAAAAAGGGCCTTGGGCGCCCATGTCGAAGCTTTTCGAGCACGGGGCGCGCCAACGAGAGTGGCCAAGGATGGACGGAGGAGGCAGGGATGCAAGGGTACCCTTGGGAAGGTTGCCCATCCTCACTATGCGGCTTGCCTGTACTCCCTGGACCACTCCCAGGGTGCGTCCTGACAAGAAATTCGAGGCGACTCCCGCCGTGGCGGAAAGAGCAGCTTCGCACTCAAGGTATCTTCGATCAAAACTCACATCACTCTGCAGTCTGGCGACCTGTGCTCGGGATCCAATCTCGAGATGTACAGAGAAAAACCTCCACGAGCTTCCCGGCGGCAGCCGTCTCGAGGCGACTCCAGCCGTGGCGACGAGGCAAGGGCAGCGGCACCAGCACCTGCTCCTCTTCGGGCCCCCGCCGCCCAGCAGCGCGTGCAGCGCGGGCGGCGCCGCCGCCCGCCGCTGGGGCCCCTCGGCCTCTGCCCCGGGCCTCGGCGGCAGGGGCCCGCCCGCGTCCGGGGCGCCCGGCTCCCGCACCGCGCGCAGCAGCGCGCCGCCGCGCCCGCGCCGCACCCGCAGGCGGACCGGCGCCCGCGGCAACGTGCCGGGCGGGGCGCCGGCCGCGAAGGCCCACCACCGCGAGGCGGCCCCCGGCCGCCGCCGCGGCACGGCGAGTGCCGCCCAGCGGCCGGGGGGCAGCAGCACCACCTCCGGGGCGCTGCCCCGGCCCGGCGGGCAGCGCAGGGCCCGGTCGCCGTCGGCGCCGAGGAGCACGAGAGAGCAGTTGCCGCGGAGGCCCTCCCAGCACTCCAGCTGCGCCCCGGCCAGCCCGCGGCCCAGGAAGCCCGGCTGGGCCGAGAGGCAGCGCTCCGCCTGCCCTGCGGCGACGCCCGCCTCCTCGTCATCCTCCTCCTCCTCCTCCGGCGCTGCGCCGGGCGCACCGCCCAGCACCACGGGGCGGACGCCAAAGCGCTCGGCCACGAGGAGCCGGAGCCCACCGGGGCCGCCGGGGTCGTGGCAGGCGAGCCCGAGGGGGCTCTGCGGCGGCCCTGGGCGCGGCAGGCGCGGCCCGGGGCCGAGCGCGAGCTGGGCTCCCTCCAGCGCGGGCAGACCACGGGCCCCGCGGACGCCTCCGGTGCGGGGCGCCTTCGGGGCGGACGAGGAGCGGCACGACGCAGCTTGCCCCGCCATCCCCTGAGATCCTGTGGCGCCCCAACTTTTTCGAGCCAGGCGGGCCCCGGGACCCTCACAGATGGATGCGGCCCCAATATGTCGCAGAAAGATGGGGTCCAGGGCTCTGGTCGAGTCTTATGCTACCATGCTGAAGTTGTTGTCGAGACATTGGACCTCAGGGTCGGAAGCGACTGTCCCGGGGCGGCTGGAGAGCGCATACCCCGACAAACCACCGCAGAGGTACAACGGCTGGAGAGCTTACGCCCCGACAAGCCACGGCAAAGGTATATGACAAGCCTCCCGGCCGCCCAGGGACGGGCGCCCCAGACGGCGGGAGGGCCGATCTCAATCTTCCGCTCCTCGTCCGCCGAGCCTTCCCCGCCTTCCCCCGCACTATGGGGGCGACCTCCTTGAACACGAAGAAGACGCCACCAGCCAGCCACAGGGCTACGAGCAGGCGACTGGAGGCCCGGAAGGTGTACCACGGCACCCGGCCCGGCGGGACCGAGGACTCCCTGCCAGAAGAAGAAGAACCGCCATAAACATCATAAACTTCTGGCGCTCCGCGCCGACTTCCTGGAGCCGCGCTGGGCCCCCTCTGGCGGCGCCCCTGGCGCCTCCCCTGGCGCAGGAACCCCAAAAGCTTATGTTTTTGTTTGTTGCAGCGACTGGCCCGATGCGGAGAAGGCAATGGCATTGAGCGCATCGCCAAGCGAACCGAGGGCACCACGCTGGCCGACCTGCGATATGCAGATTGGCACTGTGAGCGAAGTCGCTAAGGAGCACTGTGAGCGAAGTCGCTAAGGATCACCAGAAGTTGATGCTTATTGTGTTTTGTTCTTCTTCGACCTGCGGCCGTCGCGTCTGGGGTGGAAGGTCTGCTGGGCGGCGCCCGAGTGGCCATAGCCCTCCGCGATGCGCGGGTCCTGGCAGGAACAGAAGGGGCCGAGAATGCCGCGGCTCCGCGGGGCCTCGCCTGGGACGCGCCCCGGGCCTGCAACTCGATGCGAGGTCGGCGGTGGGGGAGGGGCATCGGCATCGGCATATCCCTGAGATCCGACGTCTCGAAAAATTAAAACTAAACCAAAACAAGACAAACCAAAACAAAACAGCAACAGCAACAGCAACAGCAGCAACAACAACAACCCCCCAAAAAACTGGCGAAAGACCCAACCACAGGGGCAGTTGCGGGCACCGACGCTGTGAGTGTCGCCTTCGGTGGAGCTCCCTGTGTAGCCAAGAAACGCGTAAGGGATGTGCCGAAATGAGTGGGGTTGCCGCTTGCAAATATGGCCACTGGGACTTTCGGTGGAGCTCCCTGTGAAGCCACGAAAACTGTGAGCGGAATGCCGAAATAGGTGAGGCGGCTACATGCGAACTGCGCCTCTTGGACATTCGGTAGAGCCCCCAGTGGGGTCACGATTCGTATGAAAGGTGTGCCGACATGGGTGGCGGGGCCGCATGCAAGCTGCGCCACGGGGACCTTCGGTGGACCTCCCTATGGCGCCATGAAACGTGTGAGGGGTGTGCCGAAATGGGCGGCGGGACCGCATGAGGGCTGCGCAACTGGGACCTTCAGTGGAGCCCCTCGTGGGGCCACGAAAATTGTAAGGGATACGCCGAAATGGGTGGCGGGACCGCATGTGGGCTGCACCACGGGGACCGTTGGTGGAATTCCTTGTGGGGCAACAATTATCCCGGCAAAGCAACCTAACAGCGATGTGTAGGAGCATATCTGGAAGCATTCCCCTTAAGATTCAGATGAGAATCCTGTTGTAGAATTCTGCTGTTCTCGCAGTCGTAGTCGCATTCGCGATGGCAGTCGCAGTGGCAACGGCAGTCGCAGTCACAGCCTCAGCCTCAGCCTGCCTCAGCCTCAGCCTCAGCCTGCCTCAGCCTCAGCCTCAGCCAGCCTGCTTCAGCCTCAACGTCAGTCTGCCTTCAGCCTCGGCCTCAGCCTCAGCCTGCCTCAGCCTCAGCCTGCATCAGCCTCAGCCTCAGCCTCAGCCTGCCTCAGCATCAGCCTGCCTCAGCCTCAGCCTCAGCCTGCCTCTGCCTCAGCCTCAGCCTGCTTCAGCCTCAGCCTCAGTCTGCCTTCAGCCTCGGCCTCAGCCTCAGCCTGCCTCAGCCTCAGCCTGCATCAGCCTCAGCCTCAGCCTCAGCCTGCCTCAGCATCAGCCTGCCTCAGCCTCAGCCTCAGCCTGCCTCAGCCTCAGCCTCAGCCTGCTTCAGCCTCAGCCTCAGTCTGCCTTCAGCCTCGGCCTCAGCCTCAGCCTGCCTCAGCCTCAGCCTGCCTCAGCCTCAGCCTCAGCCTCAGCCCTCAGCCAGCCTGCCTCAGCCTCAGCCTCAGCCTGCCTCAGCCTCAGCCTCAGCCTGCTTCAGCCTCAGCCTCAGTCTGCCTTCAGCCTCGGCCTCAGCCTCAGCCTGCCTCAGCCTCAGCCTGCATCAGCCTCAGCCTCAGCCTCAGCCTCAGCCTCAGCATCAGCCTGCCTCAGCCTCAGCCTCAGCCTGCCTCAGCCTCAGCCTCAGCCTGCTTCAGCCTCAGCCTCAGCCTCAGCCTGCAGCCTCAGCCTCAGCCTCAGCCTCAGCCTGCCTCAGCCTCAGCCTGCCTCAGCCTCAGCCTCAGCCTCAGCCTGCAGCCTCAGCCTGCCTCAGCCTCAGCCTCAGCCTGCAGCCTCAGCCTCAGTCTGCCTTCAGCCTCGGCCTCAGCCTCAGCCTGCCTCAGCCTCAGCCTGCATCAGCCTCAGCCTCAGCCTCAGCCTGCCTCAGCAGCCTGCCTCAGCCTCAGCCTCAGCCTGCCTCAGCCTCAGCCTCAGCCTGCTCAGCCTCAGCCTCAGTCTGCCTTCAGCCTCGGCCTCAGCCTCAGCCTGCCTCAGCCTCAGCCTGCATCAGCCTCAGCCTCAGCCTCAGCCTGCCTCAGCATCAGCCTGCCTCAGCCTCAGCCTCAGCCTGCCTCAGCCTCAGCCTCAGCCTGCTTCAGCCTCAGCCTCAGTCTGCCTTCAGCCTCGGCCTCAGCCTCAGCCTGCCTCAGCCTCAGCCTGCAGCCTCAGCCTCAGCCTGCCTCAGCCTGCAGCCTCAGCCTCAGCCTCAGCCTCAGCCTCCTCAGCCTGCTTCAGCCTCAGCCTCAGTCTGCCTTCAGCCTCGGCCTCAGCCTCAGCCTGCCTCAGCCTCCTCAGCCTGCCTCAGCATTCAAAATGTGGCCCAGGAATGGAGTTCTGGGAACTCGAAGAACACGAAGTGGCCTACAGTTGGCTCCGGGCATTCAAAATCATGCCCAGGAATGGAGTTCTGGGAACTCGAAGACCACGAAGTGGCCTACAGTTGGCTCCGGGCATTCGAAATGTGGCCCAAGAATGGAGTTTTGGGAACTCGAAGAGCACGAAGTGGCCTACAGTTGGCTCCGGGCATTCAAAATGTGGCCCAAGAATGGAGTTCTGGGAACTCGAAGAGCACGAAGTGACTACAGTTGGTTCCGGGCATTCAGAATGTGGCCCGGGAATGGAGTTCTGGGACCTCGAAGACCACGAAGTGTGTAACTGTTGCCTAAAATAAAATCCCCGGCATCCTCCCCCGGATCGCGCCCAGACCCCCCTGGGGCATCATGATGCTCTCTTTTGACTCTACTAGAAACCTATCACTCTTCGCTGCTAGGCAAAAAAATGCGAAGGGTGTGCCGAAATGGGTGGCGCGGACGCACGTAAACCTTGCCAGTGGTCCATTCGGAGGAGCTCGAGCTCCTTATGGAGCCACGAAAAGTGTGAGGGGTCTGCCAAAATAGGTAGCGGGACCGCATGCGGGCTGCGCCACTGGGACCTTTGGAGCCCCCTACTGGGCCACAAAACGGCGATGACGATGGTAATGCTGATGATGGTGATGGTGATGGTGATGGTGATGATGATGATGATGATGATGATGATGATGATGATCATGATGATGATGATGATGACGACGATCATGATGGTGGTAACGGTGATAGTGATGGTGATAGTGATGGTGATGATGATGATGAAGTTGTTGCTCACTGCCCTGAGAGAGTCGAAACCCGGGCTGCTCATCATGCTGGCATCGACCTAAACTCTGAAAAAAGGACGGATCATTTATAATATGACGGTCCCCTCCATGGTGCCCAACACAAGCTGCAATCAGGCTTTCTCGAGCATTTTCCAACCGCAACTGTTCATTGCCGTGAATTAGCACGTGTTAAATATAACGAGATCCTGTTTGTCAGAAGATATCCGGACGTTTTGTCGCGCAACACAATGACAATTCTACTCCGAAACGCGCAAAGTCAGGCGATAAGGGTCGCACTCCTTCTGCCGTACCACGTGGCCTGCATACTTGTACGTTCGACGGCCGGCATCCACATCCAAATCACGGATGCCAAACGCTCCAATTAGATTATGGAGTTTTCGGATGATGAAATGATGATGATGACGATGTCTGCGATGGTGGTGTTGACGACGGCCAGCGAATGCTCAATGTCCACGCAATCGTTGCCCGTGGTTGCCGGTAAAACAAGGCCATGGCAGGTCGACGCGCGCACATGTGAGCGGAGTTCCGGTGGTCTACCTTGTGACACAGTAACACGAGCCGCGAGTTCGGGACGGCCTTCCATCAACCTCAGGACGAGCCCCCAGCCCACGCTGCCCTTGGTCACGGGGTCGGCCAACAGATCCCGAATGTCGCACCAAAATGGGTCCTCGATTTGATTGGCGTGCGGCTGCTCGGCCCACCACCACGGGCGAACTGCCAGGCTGTCCTCGGAAGGCGGTCGCACCAGGTCCACGAGCAGGGCGCCGAAGACGGACTTGCACTCGATGACGAAGTCTGCAAGGATCGCACATACTTCCCCCCCCCTCAGCCCCCTGATCCCCCCGGCAGAAGCGGGGCCGCGCACCCTCTCGCGCAACGCGAGGTACGCCTGCAGTCCGTCGGCTGCGCCGCATGCTGCGAGCAGATCGGGGCCGCGCGAAGATCCGCGCACCAGCTTGAGCGATCGGCTCAACGCGCCCAACAAGTGGCACACCTGTTTGCCGGCGCGGCGGCGCTGGCCGAGACGCATGCATTCGGCCCTTTCACGCCGCACCCTCTTCCCCCCTCTTGAACGACCCGCCGCGGCGCGCGCTGTGCCGCCTGGCACACACCATGGCTGGAAGTGCGACGCGTGCCTCTATCTGCCGCGTGGCCAAAACAACTGAGTCGAGCTGTATCATGCTGCGGATGAGACGGTTGTTCTTGGCTCTCCGCAGGGCGACAACGCACGTTGCGACGCGGCGCTGGTCGAACGGGGCGGCGGGCGCTGCCCCCAGGAAGGCCGCCAAAAAAGGTCTGGAAGCTGACCTCCAGCCGGCCCGTCAGCCGCGGCCTTGACCAGGTCGACATGTCTGACCGGCATCAAGGCGTCCATGTACTCGTCCTGCTCAAGCGTCACGGTACCATCGGCACTGCAATGCCGGCGCACTCCACAGTTAGTGATATCGTCGCCGCCACCTCTCATTTTGCCGACGACGCTCACGATGTGGCTGATCAGCCGCTCGACGTGCTCCGTGTGTCCACCGATCTTCAGGTCGTCGAAATGCTTGGACACCACGAGCAATAGACCTGAGTCGCCGGCGCATCGGGCACCCGACGTCTCGCGCTCGACCCCGAGCTCCGGGCCCCACCTGGCGGCTTTGCCTCTGCGCTCTGGCGGGCGCGTGAACCGGGCAAGCTTCGCGGCGGAGGCTCGGGGCGCACCCTTGCAGCCAGTGCCCGGCTTGACGCGGCGCATTCAGTCGGCATGTCGTAGCTCTTGCAGCCGGGCTCACCGCGCGCCTGCATTTCGGCGCGCGCCGCGCCTCGCAGGAACGCCTTCTCGACGCCCACAGCGACGCGCACCCTGTCGGGGCGACGCGCCGCCACTGAGGACAGCACGCAATGCCACGCC